AGAGAAAGGGTGACAGACGGTGAAGAGAGACAGAGAAGAGAGAGACAGAGAGAGAAAAAGAGAATGGGTGACAGACGGTGAAGAGAGACAGAGAGAGAAAGAGAATGGGTGAGAGAAGAGAAAAGAGAATGCGTGACAGACGGTGAAGAGAGAGAGAGAGACAGAAGAGAGAGAGAAAAGAGAATGACAGACGGTGAAGAGAGAGAGAGAGAAAAAGAGAATGGGTGACAGACGGTGAAGAGAGAGAGAGAAAGAGAATGGGTGACAGTGAAGAGAGAGACAGAGAGAATGGGTGACAGAGAGAGAAAAAAGAGAGAATGCGTGACAGACGGACGAGAGAGAGAGAGAGAAAAGACGGTGGAGAAGAATGCGACAGACAGAGAGAGAAAATGCGTGACAGACGGTGGAGAGAGAGAGAAAAGAGAATGCGCGACAGACGGTGTGACAGAGTGAGAGAGAGAGAGAAAAGAGAATGCGCGACAGACGGTAGAGAGAGAGAGAAAGAGAAGAGACAGAAAGAGAGAGAGAATGCGTGACAGACGGTGTAGACAGACGGTGGAAGACAGAGAGAGAGAGAGAGAGAGAATGCGTGACAGACGGTGAGAGAGAGAGAAAGAGAAGACAGACTGTCTAGAGAGAAGAGAATGGGTGACAGACGGTACAGGAGAGAGAGAGAGAGAAAAGTGAAGAGAGAGAGACAGACGGGGTGACAGACGGTGAGAGAGAAAGAGAAAGAGAGAATGCGTGACAGACGGTGAAGAGAGAGAGAGAGAGAGAGAGAAGAGAATGCGTGACAGACGGTGGAGAGAGAGAGAGAGAGAGAAAAGAGAATGGGTGACAGACGGTGAAGAGAGAGAGAGAGAAAAAGAGAATGGGTGACAGACGGTGAAGAGAGAGAGAGAAAGAGAAGAGTGAAGAGAGACAGAGAAAAGAGAATGCGTGACAGACGGTGTAGAGAGAGAGAGAGAGAGAGAAAGAGAATGGGTGACAGGTGGAGAGAGAGAGAGAGAAAGAGAATGGGTGACAGACTGTCTAGAGAGAGAGAGAAAGAGAATGGGTGACAGACTGTCTAGAGAGAGAGAGAAAGAGAAAGTGGGTGACAGACTGTGGGTGAGAGAATGGGTGACAGACTGTCTAGAGAGAGAGAGAGAAGAGAATGGGTGACAGACTGTCTACAGAGAGAGAGAGAGAAAGAGAATGGGTGACAGACGGTCGAGAGAGAGAGAGAGAGAAAGAGAATGGGTGACAGACGGTGAGAGAGAGAGAGAGACAGAGAAAGAGAATGCGTGACAGACGGTGAAGAGAGAGAGAGAGAGAGAGAGAAGAGAGAGAGAATGGGTGACAGACGGTGGAGAGAGAGAGAGAGAGAGAAAGAGAATGGGTGACAGACGGTGTAGAGAGAGAGAGAGAGAGAGAGAGAGAGAGAATGGGTGACAGAGAGAGAGAGAGAGAGAGAGAAAGAGAATGGACAGAGAGAGAGAGAGAGAGAAAGAGAATGGGTGACAGACGGTAGAGAGAGAGAGAGAGAGAGAGAGAAAGAGAATGGGTGACAGACGGTGTAGAGAGAGAGAGAGAAAGAGAATGGGTGACAGACGGTGAGAGAGAGAGAGAGAGAGAAAGAGAATGGGTGACAGACGGTGTAGAGAGAGAGAGAGAGAGAAAGAGAATGGGTGACAGACGGTGTAGAGAGAGAGAGAGGAGAGAGAGAGACAGACGGAAAGAGAGAGAGAGAGAGAAAGAGAATGGGTGACAGACGGGTAGAGAGAGAGAGAGAGAGAGAGAGAATGGGTGACAGACTGTGTAGAGAGAGAGAGAGAGAGAGAGAGAATGGGTGACAGATGGTGTAGAGAGAGAGAGAAAAGAGAATGGGTGACAGACAGTAGAGAGAGAGAGAGAAAAGAATGGGTGACCATTAGAGAGAGAGAGAGAGAAAGAGAATGGGTGACAGACGGTTTGAAAAGAGAGAAAGTAAAGCTTAGAAAATGAAATTAATTAGACTTGACAGAGAGAGAAGGATAGTTTTTTTCTTGATTTTCAGAGAGAGAGAGAGAAAGAGCATCTTGTAGAGTTTTCAAAGAGAGAAAGAGTCTGACAGACATTTTAGACAGAGAGAGCTTCAGACGGTGTAGACAGAGAGAGAGAGAGAAAGCCACTCTCCAATGTTTTGTTTTTTTACTAATTTCACCTGACAGACAAAGAGAAAAAGAATGGGCACTCATTTCTCAAGTGTAGAGTGTTACTGAAGAAGTAATTTGAAAAGCTTGTGTTTAGAAAATGAAATTAATTAGTTGACGCCGATAAAGATAGTTTGTTCTTGTTTTCAAGGAGGATATGGTTCCTAGTTTTCAAATCTAAGGTTAACCCTAGACATGAACTCTCCAATGTTTTGTTTTTTTTACTAATTTTCACCTGATACAAAGCCCAAAAAGCACTCAAGGTAGAGTGTTACTTCTGTTGTGCGAGCGGTTAGAATAAAAACAATTCTTGGGAAGAAGCTATCTGCGGACAATGTGTGGCTCTTTGAATTTCTTGATACTAAGGGTTTTAGAGATTTAGAAACGAATATTTTTGTATATCATTCCCAGTCAATCGATTAATCTATTTTTCTCGCTCTTCAATAATGCTTTTGTTTTATAATTGTTTCTCACTCAGGGACCCCTTGCGTCTTAGTGGCTTTACTGCCTTGCTTGGTGTGATTTCGACTTTTTAAAAATCATGAAGAAAGGTATGGTCTGTAGAGAGGAAGTAAGAGAAGCATTATTGGCAGAACTTTTATATGTATAATAGATGAACATTTACTATAGAATTGCATTGAAAATCAAGAAGAATGTGATTTACAATAGTCTGAAATTGATGCAAGCGTTACAAACAGAATAGGGCTGTTATACATCTAATATTAAGATGACATTTGGCCCAGTCCACAAAAAAAAAAAAAAAAAACGGAAGAAAAGCGATAAGAGTGGAGAGAGGATTGATCTTACATTAATTATCCTCGACTTAGCTCGCCTCTCGTGGACCAAACACAAATACGTTATTTTCTGGCACGAAAAGAATGCATCCATCACTGTCATAATTGTCCTTTATCACATTTATTGTATGAACAATCAAGATGTCTTCCAAGAATATGTACAAGATTTTATTGAGAGTGAAATAGAAAAGACTGAAACGAGGAAGAAAGGGAAACTCCATTTTCTTATTTAATGATAAGGAAAACCACTTTCCTGCTTATCTTGGAGTAGTCTACCCGAATTGAAGATGCCTTGTAGCGTCTGTCAAAAACGAAGTCGGAACAAGTGGAATAAAATAAAATGATACTGTGGTCTACTGTAATATTACTAAAGGCAACTAAACTATGAAAGTCTTTGCAGTAATGAGTTACGCGATTGTCTTAAGGATTAAGAGTATTATTCGGTAGACATTTGGAAAGAAAAAACGATAGAATATTGAGTACATAGTTACTAATTAACAATTTGTATAAAAATGAACCAAGTTTCTGATAGAGTTCAGGTGCAGATCAGGGCAAATGGTGCAAGAGATGTGGGTTAAAGAAACAGCAATTCAAATGAATGCAATGAGAGAGAGAGAAAAGTAGAAAGAAGAGACAGAGAGAGAAATGTACAGAGAGAGGGAGAGAAAAGCCTAAAGGAAAGAGAGAAAAAGGGATACGGATGAAGAAAGAGAGAAGTAGAAAGAAGAGAGAAGTACAAAGAGAGAGAAAAAGAAAGACGGAGGGAAGGAGAAAGGAGAAGTGAAAAGGGAGTGAACGGAGGGGGAGAGAGAGAAGTGAAAAAGGGTGGAGAACGGAGGGGGAGAGAGAGAGTAGAAAAGGGTGGTGAACGGAGGGGGGAGAGAGAGAGGAAAGAAAGAAGTGGTGAACGGAGGGGAGAGAGAGAGAGAGAAAAGGGTGCAGAACGGAGGGGGGGGAGAGAGAGAAGAAAAAGGGTGGTGAACGGAGGGGGGAGAGAGAGAGTGAAAAAAGGTGGTGAACGGAGGGGGGGAGAGAGAGAGAAAGGGTGGTGAACGGGGGGGGGAGAGAGAGTGAAAAAGGGTGGTGAACGGAGGGGGGAGAGAGAGAGAAAAGGGTGGTGAACGGAGGGGGGGGAGAGAGGAAAAAGGGGTGGTGAACGGAGAGAGGGGGGAGAAAGGTGGGTGAACGGAGGGGGGAGAGAGAGGTGAAAAGGGTGGTGAACGGGAGGGGGAGAGAGTGAAAAAAGGGTGGTGAACGGAGGGGGAGAGAGAGTGAAAAAAGGGTGGTGAACGGAGGGGGAGAGAGAGTGTGAAAAGGGTGGTGAACGGAGGGGAGAGAGAGAGTGTGAAAAAGGGTGGTGAACGGAGGGGGGAGAGAGAGTGTGAAAAAGGGTGGTGAACGGAGGGGGAGAGAGAGTGTGAAAAGGAGATGAGGGGGAACGGAGGGGGAAGGGGAAGAGAATGAAAGCGGGAGAAAGGGTGACAGACGAAGATGAGAAAGAGATAGTGAGAGAAAGGGTGACAGAGAGAGACAGAAAGAAATAGAAACAGACAAAAGTACAAAGAAAAAAAAAGAGACAGACGCAGATCCTGAAAAGGAGAAAGAATAAAAGAATACTTAATCGACTTTGGAATGACTTTATAAACATTGAGAAGTTCCCAGAGCCAGCTCAGCACATCGGAAAATCATTAATTTTAAATAAAACCAATTTTAAATGGATTATGCTGCGTATTATTATTGTCCCATTGAGTTTTCACACCAGCAATATCTGTTGGGCTGCAATGCAAGTTAAGTGACAGCAAGTCACCTCAATATCAAGGCAGAAAAAATGGCAGAATCTGACTGTTGTGATGATGGTGATAGACCTGCCATTTTTAATTAACTTTCCTCTTCCGCATTTCATGCCAGCCTTCAATATTTACATCAAAACATTTCTCAGAAAGGTGCGCGCGCCATTTTCTCGCCAAGAAGGAATTTGAAAAGCTTGTAATGGTTAGAAAATCAAATTAATTAGCTTGACGCTGATAAATTACCACTGTCATTAGCAATTATTCCTTTTCCGTTATTTCTCATAACTTTTTGTCATTAAATGTAAATAAAGACAAAAGAAAGCTGAAACATGAGCACGTGAAACAAAATCAAGGCGAAGAGATAACATGTCGATATTTACTAAACATAGCTTAGTATGGCACAAGGCTGCACGACAGTCTCCTAATTAGGAAAGAGTTTGAAATCCTGGATTTTTACATTTACAAGTTTAAACGCCGACCGAATCAAAATGAAAAAAAAATGTTATACAATAAAAGCTCGATTTAAGCAATATCAACTTTATATCAAAAGTTGACTTCTAGAATCTAAGCAAAGTATTAAGAAACCAGAAAATATTGAGGTGGGGAGAGACGGTTGATTGTTGTGTTGCGGATATACAAATTTTGGCTGTCGATGATACATAAAAACGGGGAGGACGGAAGGAGGGGAGGGAAGAAAAGAACGAACAGGAAAGAGAAAAGAAAGGAGAGGGAAAGAGAGATATAGGAGAGGGAAAGAGAGATATAGGAGAGGGAAAGAGAGATATAGGAGAGGGAAAGAGAGATATAGGAGAGGGAAAGAGAGATATAGGAGAGGGAAAGAGAGGGAGTAAGAGAAGGAGGGTGAAGGAGAAGGAGGGAGGGAGAGGGAGAGAAGGATGGAGAGGATTAGAGAGGGAGAGAAGGAGAGACGGCAGGGTTAGGGTTAAAGATGTTTGACTGCTGTGTTGAACTGGCGACACGTGTCGCGGACGAGAGAGAATTGATTGTAGGCTTTGATTGCGCGAAAAAGTTTAAAGCTTTTTTGCTACAAACTAATATGTAATATATCAGTGAAGGCTGGACAATCTTCTCACAGATGTAGAGGAGACTTGAAATATGGTTCTACTGGAGGATGCTGAGAATACCATGGCCCGAACATGTAAGCAACGAAGTTTTAGAGAAAAAAAGATAAAAAAAGTACTTAACATCGGAAAGAGAGAATTGAAATTTATAGAGCACATAATGAGGAAAAGGGGCTTAGAGAATCTGATACTCACAAGACAGATTAAAGGCAAGAGGGACAGAGGAAATTAATTAAGCTACCTAGCGAGCTTGAGTAAATGGATGGCAGAACAGGGTTTATGAGAGAGACACAATTTATAAAATGCTACAATGGAGAGGATGTTGTGGAGATGCATGATCGCCAACGTTCTGAAAGGACACGTCATATTAGAATAAATTCTAAAATGCTATAATAAATTGGGTTCATATTATGTAACTAGTTTTTTTTATTTGTTGTTCGAAAAAAAGAAAACGAACCCATGTGTTATGGCACCGAATTAATTTTTTCGCAGCTGCAACATTTTTGTAGTAAAATAAAATCTCTATTTATGTGAGAAATGCTTATTGTAGATTTTTCTCAGCTTAATTGGGGGAAATCAGCCAGATTCGAGAATAAACATTTTGCTGTCTAAAGATTATCGAATTGTATCATTCGCCAACCCTTTGCACATTTCATGGTTTTCTAAAGATCAACAGGTGAATTGTATACAGTTTGTTTCATGTTTGGCGCAAGGACGTCTGCGAAAGGGGACATGAGGGAGATGGAGATGGAGACGCGATTTTCGCAGAGGAGAGAAGAAACGAAATCTTGCCGCCAGGGAGAAGCATGCTCGAAGGAAAGAAGACACGGTGACATCAGGAGAGAGAGTTTTCATATGCATTCGTTGCAATCGATACTGTCACTCCCGTGTGGGCCTGTACAGTCATAAAATGTTGCGCCGCCATCAGCAGCTGAGGCACAACTCTTTGGGTGCAGATCAATGGTCTCTTGAGACCGGCGGAGTTAAGACTTTAAAAATTGAGAAACAGTAAAGTATTTTTGATGACAACCACGTCATTAAATTCTTTAGCGTAATTATTATCATCGCGTTAAAAATGGAATCGGTGAACCAAGTTAAAGTTCCAGACAGTTTAATGTTCATTTTCACAGCCATTTCCTTACCCTCCAGTTATGGATTAAATAACAGAGCAGAGTGAGTTCTGAAGCCTTGGGTGGTAGCCAATTTCTTCTTCTATGTGCAGTATTCCTTCAGGTCAGGAACGATCATAACGGTAGGTGGCCAGCTGCATCTCCCTGTCGCTTTCGATATGCCCTGTGAGTGTCACATTTTCCAAGCTCTCCTTTATGCGTCTAAGAAATTCCAACTGACTAATTCTAAGTGCCCTGTTTTGTTTCCATTAAGACTACTTTTTGCTTATACACTACGTCCGTGGTATTCTTATAATCTTCTGTAGTACCACATTTGTATTACTTGCAGTCTTCTCATCTGTGCGGAAATTGGCTAGCATTGACTGCGATATAGGAGGAGGATATTACATAGCAGTTCAACACTTGTTTCAGCAAAATATTCCTGTTAATTCATATTTTGCTTAGCTTTTGGAAGGCATCTTTTGTTATTCGTATGCGCATTCGGATTTCGGTGTCCCCGTTTTCAATCCTCTATTAAAACACTGCAACCGGTTTTGAAAAAGAAAAAATGAATTCATACTGGTTGGGCGTACTCATGCCGTGAAATACGAGAATGGCGTTTCTTTGCATCGAAGACCGGTTGGGCCATTGAATTCAATTGATCATCCACCATTTGAACCCTGGGGTAGAAATCGATTGGGTGCGTCTAGACCTGTGTAAACCTAACTCACACGCACAAGAATTCTTAAAAGAAACTATTATCATCCCCGAGATGTATAATAAAAGCACCTATCACCAACATTGCTAAAATATTAGGTTTTTGATGGGCTGAGAGGATTATTATTTTTGAAGGATTATCCAACAGGGACATCCTTATTCCAACCAGCCCTTTTGTTTCTTCCCGTTCCTGAAGTTAGGTGGAGAGCATTCTTGGAGAATGTCCTTCATCAGTAAAAATTATAAAAAATGAGTTATTAGAATGAAAGGGTTGGTTTGGATTTTTTAATAACTCCCTCTGTTTGAAATCTAAATGTACCAGTTGTTTACATCCTATTTGGTAGGACTTTTGCTACTGATGTAATATTTCTACTTCGGTAAAACATCCCGGAATACAAAAAAGAACTTGAAATTATTTAAATATCAACTGACTTGAAATTGATAAAATCTAATTAATAACAGTACTAAATTGGCAGCAAGGTCTAATCAATTTAGAGTTGAAGTGGCTAGATGTAACCGTAAGTTCTATGTTAACAGTTCCTTCTACCACTTGTGGAACCCTCTTCCGGCTTCTTGCTTTCCAATCAACTCCAAAAATATAAATGTAATGCCAATCGTTATGTCTTAATTCGTGTTCTTTTATTGTCCCCTACTTAGTAGTATATTTTTCTCATATTCGCTAACACTCGGTAACACATTGCGTCTTAGTGTCTTTATTGCCTTGCTTGCGATGAAATAATTAAAAGTCATTAAAAATGATACAGTTGAAGTAAAAAAATCAAGAGTTAATATAATAAACACAAATGACATTTCTGTCTCACTAAATATAGATTTACTTAAAAGAAAGTCCTTTTCAAATGACGCTGTTGGATCGACGAGACATTTCAGATATTTTTCTTTTTCATTTTCTTGTACATTTACTATTCTGTTGGATTTTTATCCAAATTTAACTCATACATATCTTAGAATAAGGTAAACGTCTGAAAACCTAGATTAAAAAAAAAAAAATGTTGGTTGACCCCTGTTCAGAGCGGACTGTACTATCTGAACACCAAGCAAAATCCATCAGGCCGTTGAATCTGTAACCAGTGCCATCTTGCATCCAGTCAATCTGCTGATAACCTGACGAGCATTTCTAATATTTGCCAGGGTTGTTTTGGGTTTCCAATCTCTCCGTCTATCCTATTATTGATTCAGTAAAATTGGTAGGTTACACAGCTAGTGTACTATTGATATAACCCACCATTTTGATTGGATCAATACTAACTTATCAATATAAGCTACCAATTTAACTGAACCAATATTGCCTTACGAATATATCCTAAAAACTGGCATGATGAATAATGCACTATCGGTATGTGGTCTGTCCGGTAAGCATTCAATCAGTTAATATAAATAAAAAAAAGGCCTACCTACAGAAATGGTGTTTTACATACATTTACAATATTTCCTCATGGAACATTACACACTTATCTAAGAAAAAAATTACGCTTTTACTGCTTATAAAAAATTACTGCTTATAAAAACTTTTTCGGTATCGCTATTGGCTGCATCATCGCATTAAACCTCAATCTTGTCCAGCCTGAAAACTCTCTCTCGACGGCTGTTTTTAGTGTTGGGAAGAAAAGATGTCATAGGAACCAAACTGTATTGTAGTACGGCTAAAACGCGTGGGTGATGGGATTAAAAAAATGTTTCCAGATGCGAGGGTCACACAGCACGCAAGCTCACTCAAGGGTGTCTATCTATTGGTTAAAAGGTCTCACAGAATGTTTGTTCAATTAAGCCCTTATCGGTTGCTAAGTTATATTTTTAGAGCACAATCGGTCTTCGAAATATTTAAAATGGTTAGATATTTTCCGGAGAGACCTGTTATTCTCTACCAAGCTGACTGAATAAAAAATGCTTCATCAAAAAGTTACCAATTTTCCCGAACTAACAACCCCACTACTAATATAACTTGCAACCAGGAAATATAAATGCAGTCAAAGAGAATAGAACTTTAAAGAATTACTGAAATTTATATGATTGCTGGACAATCTCGTTTCAGATGAAAAAGAGACTTGAAGCCTCAGATGTGGTTCTACAGGCAAATGCCGAGAATAACATGGACAGAACATGCGATAAATGAGGTAGTTTTAAAGAAAATGGAAACTCATACTGAAAATCAGGAAGGGAAATTTTAAATTTCTGGGACACATTATGAGGAAAGATGGTTTGGAAAATGTAATGCTTACATGACGCATTGATAGAAGGAGTAAAGCGAAACACCGAGGAACCAACCTAATGATATCGTGTGAATGGATGCCAAAGTATGGACAAAGGAGAGTGCCAAAGTATGGACAAGGGAGAGTGCCAAACGTTGCTTAGTGCTACAAGTGCCAGCAAGTTGCTGAGAGCCTCGATCGTTCATTTCCTGAAGGGACCAGGTACATCAACGAGGGCTTTAATTGGGGAATAATATAGAAATAAATATTTGTGAAGGAATAAATTCAGGCTGTATCCGCTTGATCAGAAAGGAAAACACGTTTGCAGATTCGGCTTAGGACAGCTTGTAACAGTTTGGATTCTGAGGTGGATATTAAAATATAACAACGGTTACATAAAAGCTTTTGATCCCGTATAATATAAAGAAATATTAGAACAACATAAGCGTGATTTACATGAGGAGAGAATGATTTCAAAGAGTGAAGAAAAATTAGAAAGAGAAGTAAGAAAAGGATGACTCACGGGATTTATTTAACCTGTACATTAAGATAATCCTAGAGGATTTACTTGTTATGGTGAAACACAACTATTCTATAGTTAATAGACTCTCCCACTTAATATAAGTAAGAGTAGTAAGAGAAACGAGGCTCAGTCGATGTCGAACGGCCGGCTGACCGGTTGAACTCTGCCTTCGGGCGGGGAGGAACCCGAACGAGGCTACACCGAAGGGCAGAGTCTCGTTCGGGATGGTAAACCGACCCTGAACCCGTTTATATGTGTTCAAAGGGTATATTTTTGGCCGAGCCCACGGGCTGGGACATCCCACGTTAAACCGGCCTTGTGCCACATGATACCCTTGTGGGGAGGGGGTGACTAAATACTAGTCGATGTCGGA